CAATTATCAAAGCGATTGCGTAAACGGTTCTTTTGCCTCAACAAAGAGGACTTCAAAATTGCCAAGTGTAGAAAAAGAAAAATTAAAAGAGAATGAGGGAGACAGAAAAAGATGATTGAGTGAACAATCAAAGTAATAATTACTTACCTTACTCCTATGCTTCGAAAAGGAAGTTCATAAAATGCTTCGAAAAGAAATGCTGAAAATAAATTATTCGAAATATAAATCTATGTTAAACACTCTAAGATAAGGAAAATGACTAGAAATACTGAAATCAATTGTATTTGATTTGAATTCTCCTATTCACATGTAGCCATTAATGGCTATTTATAGAGAAAAAAATACAGCAATAACTACTTAAGTAACTACCCATTCTTCCATCTTCAATTCTTGTCTTGCCATGTGTCCTTCACTCATCCACTTTGTCCTTCATATTCTCCATCATCTCCATAACTTCTTTTAATTTCCAATGAATAAGAAGATGTCACGTGTCCTACAATTATATAAAAAATAAATAATAATAAAATTGTAGATTTATGGTGGCTAACAGAATTAAAACATTAGAATAACACATGCCATATTTTGTAAATTCAATGTATTTTTTAAAATTCACAAGAGATTAATGTAATTAATCAAAAAAATTATTGTATAGTTTTGGATTCATTTTCGATGTGACAAAGACCACATAGCACATCTAAATCATCTCATGTTTACTATACACAATCTTTTTGGGTGTGTATCATATATAAGTTATGATATTTTATATATGGTGTTTAATTATAATGTCATAACTAAATCATTTTTAGTCCATAATTAAAAAAAAATAATGAATCATAACAAAAACTACATAAAGTATAACTAAAAACTTTTTTGATTATAACCAAAATGAATAATCACATATGTCATAATCGAACATTACATAATTATAAAACTATATAATACAAGATCATGATCGAGTAAAAATTAATATCATAAATAGGTCATACCAAATGGGTAATTCAATCTGACACCACAGAAAACAACTCATTACACCATTTAATTTTGGGAAATTCTATTTCCACCCACTTAATAAACTCAGCATAATCCTTTCTCAATACCACATCATATTAATTAATTATTAAAATTATCTCAAATCCACATCCTTAAAATTACAAATAAATCCTTCACTCACTAACTTGTACACAAGCCACTTTCACCTCAAGTACACACACTTCAATTATACCCCAATTTATATTATTCTTACCCATCTTTGGTGCAACGACAAAGTGCCTTGGTTCAAACAGGAAAAGAAAGAGTCTCAAACGAAACAAAAAAAATTAAAAAATAAAAAAATCTACACTTTCACTTACCCCATTTGAAGATTCAAAGATCTCCATTTGAAATATGTACTAAATGTTGAAAATCTTGTTTAAGAAAAAAATCTTTCAATTTGTTATTTTATCATTTATCATCTTGATATTACATTGACAATTTTTCCGATCTCTCTTCACTGCCATTGGCATAAAAGTATGTTTCCAGAGCTGTAAGTGCTGTGTAGATCGCCACACTGGGTTGCCCGAAGATGGTGTTTCATTCGCCCACTTGATTTTTCGAATATTTATCGTATATCGACCATAGAATTTGAAAAAAATACATGAGATATGTCTATTTATATTCGAAAAACGCAAGAACAATTCGGACTTCAATTTTGAAATATGTTTGTATTTTCGGTCCTGAAGGTCGCCCCGACATGGTTTTTTTTTTTTTTTTTGTGAATTATCATATATAGAACTCATTATACATAAGGCACCATATTTGTTTTACTTAGTTCTTTTCAACATTTTATTTTAATGGATATGTTATGTATTATTTTTTTTCACGAAATTCAATGCATAACAAAGAAACAAAAATCTTACAGTATTGTGTATTTCCACATGATATGTCAGCTAGTAGTTGTTCATAAATTTTGTTAGCTAAATATCTGAACAAAACATTGCATTAATTAGATTATTAAGCTTGAGTATTTGTCTTTGAGGTTGTATTTAAGCCATGAAATTGGTGCCAAATTTGTCTTTGCTTGATTCTACAGCTTACAACAAAGTTTAACAATCTAATTGGCACTGTACAAAGACAAGTGATGGCGTCCATCTTAATTTGTTGAAACATGATGTTGATTGATTAATGACCAATGTGCCTTTGTTAAATGCCAAAATGAAATTAATCCTGTTTTTTCCATGTTGTGAACATCAACTCAAAACTAATTGTGAATGTCGCTTGTATAGAATACTAATAGTTTTTACTACTTCCATGTCTTGATTGTAATTTTTCAACAACAATCCTAGTCTAATCTTCATAATAGCTAAGGTTATGATTTAACTTATTTTGTTAATTTCACATCATAACCATGTTGAATAATCGTTATAACTGCAGTATTAGATTCATTAAGGGCAGTATGCTACTTATTAATCCCGCATGATTGTGATCCTTTATGGAATGCTTATTATGTTCATTATAATTGGGTTGATAAGAAGCAACTTTCTTATGCCAATGGATGTCGCGTCCTAGTGAACGTCTCAGTAACAAGCTCAGACAGGAAGACTCCAATGAATTAGGAGAGTGGACGTGGACTGGATTGCATCGAGTGCAAATCA